GTAAAGTAAAAAAAATATGTAGAAAACTAGATTAAGTTAGAATTTAGTAAAAATTATTTAAATTTGAGCATCAACACGAATTCATGCTTTTTTGGAAGAGAATTGTTTTGCCCTGGGTAGTGTAGCTCAGTTGGCTTCCCTCCTTCATGGCCCAAACAGCTCCTAATCTAGTGGAAAAGCCTTTTTCAGAGCAGGGTGTTGGGAAGGGATGGAATGGCAAGGCTAGAATTCTCTTCAGTGGTATGAGAGAAAAGAAGCTAAAAAATGCTCAGACATTAGTAATTTTATAATATCACATTTGGATCATATTTTTGAGGAATAACAGCTGTAAATTTTTTTGAGTATACCCATCTGTTTTTTTTTCCTGTAAAATTATCATCTATCTATCTATCTATCTATCTATCTATCATCTATCTATCCATCTGCTGTCTTTTATTTATTTAGATGCCAATAAATGTTGTGTTTATAATATATTTTATACTTCCTTCATGACACTAAATATTATTCTAAAATAGCATTTAAAATGGTTGCATTGTCTTAGTTTATTGGACTATACTATGATTATCTCATCATTTAAAAATATATATTTATTGATTTCAAAGAGGAAGGAAGAGGGAGAGAGATAGAAACATCAATGATGAGAGAGAACCATTTATTGATGCCTCCTACATGCCATCCACTGGGGATCCAGCCTGCAACTCAGGCATGTGCCCTTGACCAGAATAAACTTGGGACCCTTCAGTCTGCAGGCCGACGCTCCATCCACCGAGCCAAACTGGCTAGGGCTATCCCGCTGTTTTTAGTCAGCTTTCGTGTTACTAACAACAACTCAAGTTTAAGTATTCCTGTATATTCATTCATACATTTGCTCATAGTTTTTAATTTAAGAAACATTAATTGATTCATGTTTCCAGCATTGTTCTAACTAGCATGAGTGTTTGTGAACATATTTTGATGATTTTTTTTAGGATTAAATTCTAGAAGCAGAATTGTTATTGTAATATTTGAAAAATTTAAAAAAGTTTTTATTACACACTTCAAAATGTGTAGCAATTTGTACTTAACTTGCTAAAAAGTAAATAGAAGTACCTTATGATATTACAACCATATCAACACTGGGTATTCTCTTTCTTTTTAATCATTACAATTTAATAGGCTACAAATTATGTATCATTGTGGTTTGGATATGCATTTTTATTTTATAATGAGGTTGAGTACTTAATTTGTTAATAGGATCCCTGTGTAGTATGAGTGTGAGGGGTGCGTGTATGAAATGTCTCTTTTTATCTTTGCTCATTTCCCCACTAGAGCAATATATCTTATAATTTTATTTTTAAAATATCGTTATAATTTGAGAACATTAGGCTGTTGGCAGACATCTACATTGTACTTTTGTTCCAAATACAATGTTGTTTGTCTTGTAATCGTATAATAATTTATGACACACAGAAATTTTCTTTTTAAATTTTATGTCATAAGATAACCACTTCCCCATTTCTTTTCTTTAAAAAATCTTGCATCTGCAAACTAGAAATAAACATGTAATAACAAAAAACTTTTGAGTCCCAATTTTAGTGTCCAACAGTTCTGAGACCCAGTTTCAGTGTCAAATAGTTCTTTATATGTACATGCCAGCAAAGATGTCTGGATGATGGACAGATGGTGGCAATGCAGGTTCGACCCTCTCTGGTTTGGTCCTGGGCAACCTGCAGCAACACACAACTCTGACTGCTAGTGTGACCAGGCGTCGTTAGGGTCTTCCATCTCTGGGCTGTTTCTCCTCTTGTCTTCGTGGTTGGAGCAGACCTGACAACTCTTCTCTGTTGCAGGAATCCCCATAGTCTTGGACTAGTTTTCTGAAAATATACAAACATATTAAGAGATAAAGAACCATTGAACATACTGTCAAATATAGTGGGAAGGCAAGAGAGGTTGGGGGTGGGGAGGCTGTAAGAGATCAACTGAAGGACTTGTATACATGCATATAAACATAACCAATAGATACAAGACATGGGGCGGGGGAGGTGAAGGTATATGCAGGGGAGTAGGGGAGGCTGGGGGGAGGTCAAAAGGGGGGGAAAAAGGAGACATATGTACTACTATTTGTAATCCTTCAAACAATAAAAAAAAAGAAAAAAAAAAGATAATCACTTCATTCACTTTAAGAACAGCCATCTCCAGGTCAAGGTTATATAAAAACTAGAGACTCAGTGCACAAAATTTGTGCACGGGGAAGGTTGTCCTTCAGCCCAGCCTGCCCCCTCTCCAATCTGGGACCCCTCAAGGGATGTCTGACTGCCCATGTAGGCCAAATCCAGGTAGGGACTGCTGGCTCCCAACTGCTTGCCTGCTTGCCTTCCTGATTGCCCCTAACTGCTTCTGCCTGCCAGCTTGATCACCCCCTAACCACTCTCCTGATAGCTTGATTGATACCTAACTGCTTCCCTCCCAGCCTGATTGCCCCTGCAGGCCTGGTCAAACCTAAATGCCCTCCTCTATAGGCCTGGTCTTTCCCCCTACCACCTCCCCAACTGCTCTCTCATGCAGGCCTGGGTTCCCCCCAACTGCCATCCTCTGCTAACCTGATTGCCCACAACTGCCCTCCCTTGCAGGCCTGGTCCCTCCCATCTGCCCTCCCCTGCTGGCCATCTTGTGGCAACCATCCTGTGTGCACATGGGGGCAGCCATCTTTGACCACATGAGGGCAGCCATCTTGTGTGTTGGAGTGATGGTCAATCTGCATATTACTCTTATTAGATAGCATAGAGGCTTGGTGCATGGGTGGGGGCCAGCTTATTTGCCCTGAAGGCTGTCCCAGATCAAAGTGGGGATTCCCTTGGGGTGTGGGGCAGCCTGGGCAAGGGGTCTGTGGTGGTTTTTAGGCCAGCCATGCCCCTTGGCGACCCAAGTGGAGGCCCTGGTATCTGGGATTTATTTATCTCTTATAATTGTAACTTTGTAGTCTTGAGTGGAGCCAAGCCTCCTGCTTGCTTTGTGGCTTCAACTATTTTTGTTAAAATTTATTTATCTTCTATAATTGAAACTTTGTAGCAGAGGCCAAGGCAGGCCAGGACTATGGGAGCTTGGCTTTCTCCATTGCCAGGGGCATCTCAAGTCTGCTCTCTCTAACTCTGAGGCTGCCACCATTTTTGTTGGGATTTATTTATCTTCTATAATTGAAACTTTGCAGCCTTGATTATAGGCCTGGGCCAGCCAGGATGGCTGGGAAGCTTGGTTTCCTCCATTTACAGGGAAACCCAAGCCTCCTGCTTGCTGTAGCTCCATGACCACAGCCACCTTGGTTAGGTTAATTTGCAAACTGATTGGCTAGTGGGCTTGACTTGTGGTTATAGTGAAGGCATGGTCAATTTGCATATCACTATTTTATTATAGATAGGATTATCCATATTATCTTCTTTAATTTCTATTTTTTCAGTTTTATTTTTGAATATTTAAGCCAATTGGATTTTATTTTGAGTGTGGGTATGGAGTATAAATTTAACTTTATAATTTCCTAAATGCTTAATCAGTCTTTGTAATGTCACTTATTAAATAACCTATCTACAATGATGAATTTTTAGTTTTAAATTTCAATAAGCAATACTTCCAGCACAACTGAGGTCAGCACAACTCTAATACCAAAGCCTGGCAAGGGTAACACACACAAAAAAGTAAACTGCAGACCAATATCTCTGATGAATACAGATGCAAAAGTCCTAAACAAAATACTAGCAACTGGAATACAACAATACATTAAAAAAATTTTAAAAAAGACATTATGATCAAGCAGGGCTCATTCCAGGGGCACAAAAACGACTCAACATATGCACATTGATCACTGTGATACCGCATTAACAAAAGAAAGGATAAAGTAACATGACCTTCAAAATATATGTAGAGAAAGCATTTGATACTGTAAAAAATCCATTTATGATTAAACACTCAATAAAATCGATATAGAAGGAACATACCTCACCATAATAAATGCCATATATGACAAATCTTAGCACTATCATATTCAATGATGAAAAACTAAAAGATTTTCCTCTAAAATCAGGAACAAAACAAGGATGCCCATTTTCACCACTATTATTCAACATACTACTAGAAGTCCTAGCCAGAGCAATAAGGCAAGAAAAAGAAATAAAAGGCATCCAAATAGGATAGGAAGAAGTAAAAGTGGTATTCTTTGCAAATGACATGTTCTGTATATAGAAAACCCTAAAAATTTCACACACACACAACTATTAGAAACAATAAACAAATACATGAAAGTTGCAGGATACAAAATTAATTTTAAAAAATCCTCTGCTTTCCTATATACTAAAAGTGAAACGTCAGAAAAAGAAATGGGAAAAAAACACACATTGCGGGGCCAGGATGAGCAGGAGTAATAGGCAGGAATGGCAGGAAGAAGCAGCAGGTGCCATTGGACTGTGCTTTCAGCCAATCCCCACCCTAGGCCACACTGAGGGACCCCACTGGTGCATGAATCCATGCACTGGGCCTCTATTTGATATATAAAAACTTCAAATTAAAACATATATATTTCTTTATTTCAGAGAGGAAGGAAGAATGAGAGAAAGAAAGAAACATCAGTGATGAGAATCATTGATTGGCTGCCTCATGCATGCCCCCTACTGGGGATTGAGCCTGCAACCTGGGCATGTGCCTTTGACTAGAATCGAACCTGGGTCCCTTCTGTCCACAGGCTGACTCTATCCATTGAGCCAAACCAGCCTGGCACTTCACATTTTTAATGTGTACAATCTGATGAGTTTGGACATGTGCAAACACACGTGATACCTTTTACTACAATCAAGTGGTAGACATATCCAACACCTCCCAAATTCCCTTGTGTCCCTTTAGGGTTTTCTTTGTTTTGTTTCGTATTTTCTTAGTAAGAACACTTAACATGAGATTTACCCTCTTAACAAATTTTGAAGTGCATCCGATTGGATTGTTAATACTGTGTAGGCTAGAGCAGATCTCTAGAAAGTAAACACATGGAACCCTTCACCAGTTTGTGTCACCCTTGCACAGGAGCCATGCTAGTGTACCCTGTATCGGTCCAATGTTAGTACATGTGCTGCTGAAGCGAGCATAGTGAGGTTGGCTGTTAAGTATGCAGTGTTTCTATTTTAAAAATTTATTTCAATAAAACCATGTCATTTTTAAAATTTATTTTTAGGTATTCATTTTTTAATTGACAAAATATATTTTTAAACTGTAGTAAATCATATTTTCTACTTAGTCATTGTTGGTATGTGGTAAAATTATTAAATTTGTTTTACCATCATCCAACTTACTGCATTTTTTGTTTTTAATAAATGTTAACATACTCTCTTACATTTTCTAGTGCTTACCATTCACAAATAAGATTGGATTTCTTATAAACGCTTTAACTGGTGCTTTAGAATTCTGCCAAATTATGTTACTGTAACACATGTTTTACCAAAAAAAATTTGTGACTGGTGATTTATGGTGGGTACTGTTCCCCTTAATAAGAAATGCATGTTATATTTCATCATATCTATTATGAGTATTTTTTACAATGAACATTTTGGCTTCTTAGACCTCTTAGCATTATGAAAATTTATACGGTTTCCAACAAAGGAAATCTGTTGCATTCCTGAAGTAAATTTTACTTGCTCGAGGAGCATCTTTTAAAATCTCTGCGAATGGGTTAAACTTATCTATAAAATATGAAAACGCTGCAACAAGTCATCGTTCATTTTTTTTCACAAGTATTTGTATTGCTTCCTAAATATATGGTCTACTTCCTGCCACCTCAATGTTTAAAGATTGGGGGTCACAGTATAAGATTGTAACCAGATGGTTGAACCTCGAGAGAGGACAGGGGCCGGGAAGGTGTATGGCTTTGGTAACATTCTATTCTTAAGCTGGGTTGTGAGTACATGTGGGTTTATTGCATATGTTTTTAAATATTTGATCTTTTTCAGGTCTTTAAATTTATTATGAAATCTTAGAAAGTAGTTTTTATATCACAGCGCCTCCGTTTTTCTGATAACCAGATTATTGTCATTTTGAAGATGCAATATTTTTCAAATTTTATAGAAATACAAAAATGATTTCTTAAAAATGTTATGGCCTAAATCAGTTTTAGAGAAGAACGAGTGTTTGCATTGGATCTTTGGATTGTTCTCCTTATTTCGAGCTATTGAACGTGTGTGTTGTCAACCATCACAGCTAATCATCTTCAGAACATTTTTATCAACCCACACTGAAAATCTGTGCCCATTTACAAATTCCTCACCATTTTTCTCTCCCCTGCTGACTTCTGCTACATTCTGTCTCTATGGCTTCGACCACTCTAGGTACCACATATATCTGGAATCCTACAGTATTTGTCCTTTAGTGGCTGGCTTACCTGACTTTGCATGTCTTCAAGGTCCATCCATGTTGTAACCCACATCACATTTTCCTACCTTTTAGAGACTAATAGGCCATTGTCTTTATTTACCATTGCTTGTCTATCCATTCATTCATCAGTGGATATTAGTCCATAGTATCTTTTTTTTTAAAGAGATTTTACACTTACTTATTTATTATTATCTTAATCCTCACCTGAGAATATGATTTTATTTATTTTAGAGAGGAAGGAGGGGTGGGGGGAGAGGAGAGGAGAGGAGAAGAGAGCAGAGGAGAGAGAGAGAAAGAGGGAAACATTGATGTGAAAGAGAAACATTGATCGGTTGTCTCCTGAAGGATCCCGTCTGAGGATCGAACTCACAACCTAGGTATGTGACCTAACCAGGAATGGAGCCTGCAACCTTTTGGTTTATTAGATGATGCTCCAACCAACTGAGCCACTTGGTCAGGGTGGTCCAAAGTCTTTTTTAAAGGGGTAAATTTTACCTTCCCAATTCAGTTTCTATGTATTGATTGAGCTTGAAGACATTTGAGGATTATTCTATACCAGTGACTCTCAAACCTCAGCATACATTAGAATTTCTCAAAGGGCTTGTGGAAACACAGATTGCTGGGCCCCAGCTGCAGAGTTTCTGATTCAGTAAGTCTGGGGTGAGCCTGGGAGCCAGCATTGCTGACAAATTCCCAGTTGGTGCAGGTGCTGCTGATCCAGAGACCACATGTTGAGAACTTCTTTTCTAGGGGTTCATTCCCTTATTTTCCTACACATGGTAGGATAGCTACCTAGCGCCAGATTGTCCCAGGGGATCTCACATGCAAAGTCCTCAATGGTCGATGCTGCCATAAAGGACACTGCAAGCTGGTAACCTCACTCAAACAGTGAGCTCAGCCCAGTAGATAGGAATTGAAATGAGGTGGCATGGAAAAACTGGGTTGTTGACCAACAGAGACCAACATGGTGTGGCCATCATGAGGCTTGGTGGAGCCCAGAAAGCTACTGGTTCAGGAGACAATGGGCACTCCCCTGAAGCAGAGAGCTGACCGCCCCACCTTTTACTAAGACCTCCCGCTTCCTCCCAGCTCCCTCCTGTCCCCTGAGCTCATACTGCTCTGGAAAGCACTGGCCCCTGGGCTTGAATTTCAGTGAAATTCAGTGAAGCCATGAGGAGAAAATGCACCATAAAATCCTGTGGCTCCTGCGACAGGAGTGGCCATCTGCTTTCTTTCAGTTGGACCCTCTACAGAGTGTAGTGACTGTTGTGGCCCGTGCTCTCTCTTTCCTGCTAGCACAGTAAAGAAGGCAGCGCCTTTCATTAACAAAACAGAACGCAGGGCTTTAGTCAACAGCAAACGCCCAAGGCGTTGGTGGATTCTCTCCCACTTTGTCAGCATTAGTATCAATAATCTGTTAGCTAATTTCCCCTTTCCCAATGTTGGGATGGACATGTATTGCCTTTTCCCTGTATAGGTTGCTCTATATTAGGGGTGTCGAACTCAATCAGAGAAGGGGCCAAAATCTAAAATCCAGCCTAAATCGAGGGCCGAATGGTTTACTGAACAGTCATAAACTGTCATTGTGATGGAAACGCAGCGGAGTGCAGTGATGACAGCACGGTGCGGGCCACATTGCAAGGCCTGGTGGGACGGATTTGGCCCGTGGGCCTTGTGTTTGACACATGTGCTCTATATGGACAAAGATCAATATACCGCCATTTGCTTCAAATCCTGTGCGACTTTAAGGTAGCTTGTTCTCACCTTCTTATTCTTGTGCACATTTCTAAGCACCAAGGGAAATGTCCATTTCCTCTTTTCTTGGTAAATAAGACAAAAACCATAGTAACAGGCGAGAAAACAGGCACAGACCAAACAAACAAATTCGAAGCTAAAGTTTGCTTGAAACCTTAGGGAGCCGGCAGAATAAACAGAGGTCTGGGTTCCCAGTTACGCTATGAAGCCTTAGGGTGGACTTGGAAAGGGCCAGGCTGCGTTGAAAGAAAAGGAAGCCGATGCTACAAGGCACCTTTCAGCCTCTCCTTCCTCCGTCTCCAGACATGGAGCTGCCCTGGGGCAGTGTGTGCTGGCTCCCATGGCAGGCGGGACTCTCTCTAGACTCACGGATAACCTGAAACGTGAGACTGTGAGACCAGCTTGGAGTGGACACCTGCCATTTCTCAGTCATCATCTCTGTGCTTTGGTGTGAGGAGTTTCTCTGTGGGTTCCACGTGGTCGTCCCCATACTTCCCTCCAGAATCATAGGAACTGGGGTGAGTTTTTCCTTTTTTCAGAAGTCAGTCTGTTCCACAGGCATATATGTGGGACAGACTGATTTCCATTTTTCTCCATGCACCCATCTTTCCTTCTCATTCTTCCAGCGACTTCAGGGCTGGAGAGGGTGTGGATCTGTCTCCACTCCCAGGCTTGGGGTACAGGGGGCCAGAGTCACTCTGCTGGCCAGTGGGCTGTGGGGAGAGGCTTCAGGCAGTGCTCAGAGACCCTCCTCTGAACAGCAGGGACTCCAAGGCCTGGGCTGCACGGTGCCCCCTGGTGTTTGGTTCTCAGCCTCCCACGTGAGTGTGTGCCCCACACCCACCCTTGGAAAATACAGGATCTGGGAGCCCCCCTGGAGGTGCTCTAGGCCCAGGCTCCTCCCCCTCCCTGTTTCAGAGGTCCGCAGGGATGATGGGGTTCTTGCATCTGCTGCTCACCTCCAGCGGTTTCCCTTCATACAAGGCAAACTGTGGGTTTGTAAACATTTTGCAATTTGGCCTCCACTGCCCTTTTCTTAGAGAATTTCCTTCAGGAGTCAAACCTCTGGATAAGCCCCTTCTGTGGTTCTGAGCGGATTTGGCTGCCCATTGTCATTGCAGTGGGTCCTTCACAAAGCTCCTGGTACACGGCCTGTGGGATCTCTTGAAGGGGATGTTTCTGATTTTATTACTTACTCAAACCAGGGCCTATTTCTAGAGACCAACTTCTTAAATTTTATTTTATTTTATACATTTTAAAAATTTTATTTTTCAATTACAGTTTACACAGTATTATTTTGTGTTACAGTTTCAGATGTAGTGGTTAGACAATCATATATTTTACAATGTGTTCCCCCAAAACTTCCATTACTCACCCGGCACCACACAGAGTTATTACAATATTATTGATTATATTTCCTATGCTGTACTTTACAGCCTGCTGACTCTTCTGTAATTGTTGTAGGTGGTGGGAATGGCACGGGTGTTAGATGGGTGGGGCTGGACTGGACCTGGGCTCAACGATCTCGGTACTTGAGTCCTGCCTGGGAAAGAATTCAGAGCCAAGACTCAAACTGTAAGGGAACATTTAGTTATAAAATCACAGAGGTAGAGGAAGTAATTTGTAGAATGAGTGGGCTTAGGAAGCAAGTTATAGATGTAAAGGAATAGCCTTTGGAGCTTGGGAGTGAGGGAGGTAATGGAAATGTGCCTAGGGGGAGGGGAAGAGGGAAGGGATGAGAAGAGAGAAGGGGAGTCCTGTTCTTGGTGGGAGAGCACACTGTGCCCTCCAGCCTAGTGGTTTGAGGGTGGAGTAGAATATTCAGCAGCTTTCCAGGTGTGTCTTTTCAGGATCCAGTCTCACTACAACCTCCCTCCCATCCCTTAGGTTCCCTCAAGATGTTAGAATACAGATATCCCAGAGAACAGAATCCATTGCAATCTACACATCACAGGGGAAAGTGGAA